GTAAATATGTAAATTAGTTATTGCAATTTCCCGTTTCATACTTTAAAATTGGCACCTGAATCAGGTCCATAAATTTCCGACATGAGTGCCCAATGAGCCTGGAGGACGGGGTCGTGTTCGAAAGACTTCATTTGCAAGTAGCAAACTCCGCCGTCTTTTCCTTCCTCGGTGACGTGATGGATTTCCGTCAGGTAGCCGGCTTCACCTAGCGGAAGTTGATAAGCAGTTATCATTAGGGTGAACAATTTGTCATATTTTCAGTGTTTTGTTTGCTACATTTCTTGCACTGGAAAGTAAGCCATGCAATAAATGCGAGGTGCATAAAGCTGCAAGAAACATGCGCCATCCTGCCAAGCGCAGCATGAACAGCGCGCAGAGGAAGTAAGTGGTTTCTAGCGCCTTGAATTTCTTGCAGGTTAAAATATTTGGCTACAAGAAACCACTTTCTTCCCGTTATTTTTTGCAAGTTACTCGAAACGCTGCACATTTTAGTCAATTTTTGAAATAAAGATTTTAAGATTGTGTAATTAAATTTTGAAACTGTGTTAAACTATGTAGCTCGTACTGAGAAGGGGAAAGAAGATATGATCCAGGTAGACCGGAAGTAGGGCAAGGAAACCCTCTTTGCCCGCCGTTTTCAGGGTGTAGCACGAATGGTCACTTTCCGTCCAGCCATCCGTCCCCGCCGCGTAGCACTGGACGGCCAACTGGTCCAAAATTCCGGGATGTGGGAAGTGACGACTTCCCAGGAAAATCATTCGCTGCAAAATGAGTGGCAGCCCCAGCTCGTTCGAAACGCGGTGGCCTAGTCATACCCAAAAAACACAGGATCATTCACTCAAAAAAATATGAAGAAGTTTCACAAAATTGTGTCAAATTCTGCATTGATCGAATAAAGCTCGATGCATATTCTGATCTGATTTTTTTTGCATAGTCGTGCAGAAAATTTCCATATTTTTTTCTGCAGAACCGATTGTGCATTGTGCATAGCTGTTCGCATAGTTTTTTTTAGAAGATCGGGCCAAATTACTGCAGAAAATCGGGTCAATTATTGCAGAAAATGATCAAAAATTTCAGCGACGTCCACCAAATAAAAGCCCAAAATCCCTGAATTATCCACTTCACTTTCCCGAATTATCCACGTCACCCTCAAAATTTTACCGGTTTTAGTATTAAAAAAAAGACTGAATTATTCTCCCTCAAGAAACACCCTTTTCTTAAAAAAACCTTCCCAAATTTCACAAAAATCCCGAAATCCCCTCAAAATACCACCCCTAAATAAATGCACAACTCACGAAACACAAAGTATCCATGCACCTCTGGACTGTCCACTTTCGCATGAACCACACTCAACCCGGTATGTCTGCTCCGATATTTGGTCACATTATGCAGCTCATTCGCCTTCACGGTCGTGATCCGCTCCCACTCGCCGCCCACGCCCAACCCCTCCGCCAAACTTTTCCTCGTCCGCTGCAACCTCTTGGACGTTTCCGAGTCCACAATCGTCAACCTCTTCTTCGTGCCCCCCTTCATCAGCGGGGCCGAGGACAAGAACGCTAATGATTTGGTCGGGACACGGTGATGTTCTAGACTTTGACCTTGGATACCTGTTCAAAAACAAAATATTCATTCAAATTTCAGTCATCCCGATTTCTGAAGGAAGATTTTCATTCACATTCACTCATTTTCTTTCAAATTCATTCATTTCATTTCATTTCGCTTCATCTGACTTCATTTCTTACTTCACCCCATGTATTAAGGGTTGGGTGAAGAATAAAATGAATGAGTGAGAAATCCTGTCATTCACAGTCATTCATATGAAATGACGGAATCTTTCACTCATTTTCATTCAAATGACAGGAAATTTATTTTCATTCACGATAATTCACCATCATAATGCCAAATGAATGAATGTGAACAGGTATGTGACCTTGACCTTGACCTTGCCCCGGAACAGCAAACTTGACCGGAGCGTGCGTATGATCGTGGGATTCCGCATCGTAAAACGTGTCCCTCTCTGGAATGTCCTCCAAATGAATGGGGGCCGGTTCGTAGGTCGATTCACGGAGATCTTTGGTCGTTTGAGACGAACCGAAGCGGGCGTGGTGCATCTGCGCATGCGCGTTGTGTGACGCGCGCGAGGAAGCGATCTGAGCCTGCACGATCATCGAGTGTCGCAGGACGGCCATCCGGTTGAGTTGCTGTTGCTGTTTTTCAATCTCCATTTGTAACATGGTAGGGTTCATGAATTCGAGACGGAGGCCGGTTTTGGACGCGCCGACGGAGGCGGATGCCTTGGTGCCTGGGGAGAAAGAGAGTGGTTTTAATACCCGGGTAAAATATGGGGAGTTAAAACCCGAATTTTCAGGCGATCCCGTGAAAAAATAAAAATACGTTTTTAAGGACGTCTGAAAAATCTTGGAAAAAAAACGTGTCAAAAATTTTTGCAAATTGTGTAGATTTTAAGAGAGCGAGAAAAAACAAAATTATTTTTAATACCCGAGTAAGACATATGCGAATAAAAAATCTGAATTTTCCATTGAATTTGTGAAGTAATACACATTGATTTTAAAAACGTCCTTCAAATCATGTAAACAAATCTGTCCACAATTTTTGCAAATTCGTCCCAAATTTCTCCAATTTTTCCAAAAATCTATCCCAAACTCCCCCACAAAAATCACAATACCTGTCGCCAACGCATGAAAATTGAGCGGGACAGCATTCAGCGCCTCGGACGTGGTCATATGGGCCCCCGCATTTCCCGGAATAAGCCGTGACGTCGTGCGGTACGTGGGGTTGGCCAGGTTGGCGTCTGACGCCAACGCCATGATCGAGCTCGTATCCTGCGGAAGGTCGCCCGCCCTGATGGACGTGAGCGTCTTCCGATGCGCGGGTGGCGCCGGGTGGTCCGGGAGCGTCGAGGTCGGGTGGTTTTTCAGCAACGGGACGGATTTCGGGCCGCCGCCAGTGATCGAATGGGCGTGCGGCATGTGTTCGGAAATCGTGGCGTGGTGGTCGTGATGTCGATGGGGGTGACCACCCCCTTCTTTTGGTGGGGTTTCTTTTTTGGGCGGAGTTTCCTTCTTGGGCTGAGAGGTTGACGACATGTCAACAATTCGGGGGACAAAAGAAAGAGTTTCAACAAGAAAAAAAACAGTAAACAAAAGTTGAGAGATTTCTGAGATGGAAATTTTAAAATATTTTTTTTTGGAAATGATCACCATTTTTATTGACACTATTTTTTTTATAGCTGTGAATCCAAGCAACATGTGTATGTACATAGCTTGACAATTTATGCATCATAATTTTCGAAAAGTCGTATTTCTAGTAAATAACCTTTCATATTTTATGATTTCTGAGAAAAGTTTCCATTCCAATTTTTCCGAGCTGCCTGTCAGCAACTCTCCTTCATCGCGGACAGAATTTCGAACAACCCCTATTTCAAACTGGACTTGCAACGTCAAAGAAGATGAAAATCTCGGCAAAACTGCTCCTCTTCGTCGTCACTGTCACGATGGTCTTCGTCCCCTCGGTGGATGGTGAGTTGAGAAAAACTTAAAAATACACAAGTACATAATAATATTTAGATTACTCGAAATTTCCACATTTTCGCATTGTCGCCTTCCACAGGACTGAAATGCTACTATTGCAAAACTAGGGAACCAAAATCTTCTGACGGTGAATTAGGTCGAATGGGAAATGAGAGTGTACAATTCATGAGGTCGGCTCGTCAGTACCATGAACGCCCTGAATGCAAAGACTTCAACGAGAAGACTAAAAAAGAAGAAAGGTTCCAGCAAGACTGTACAGATATTACGAGAGGTATATTTTTTACACTAATAATGGAACCTTTTTTCAAGATTTTCTTACGAGTTGTATCAAAAAATTCAGCCAAAAATTAGAAATCACATGATGCCTATCTTTCCGTTGAATGGACTCTTTCAAGAAAAATATTGGTGGCAAAGTTCAATTTTCGAAAGGTTAATTTAATTTTTAAACCAAAGGTTAATTTTCTCTCGCTTTTTCCTCCATGGGGGGGAAACAAAGGCGGGCACGTGATTCAAGATTTTTCTTAAACGGAAATACGAGTGGCGTGTGATTCCTAATTTTTGGCCTGATTTTTTAACATAACTCGCTAGAAAATCCCGGCGTAGATTGAAAAAAGGTTTCATTAAACATTTATTTCTGAAATCTCTTATTAGACCCAGTTTGTTTCACCCTTCTCAAAGAACCAAAGGAAAGTGGATGCGTGTCCATAAGAGAGTCTCGCGCTTATCTACCTGACAAGAATAAATGCAATTGTATAGCGTGCACGTGCGACAAGGACCTTTGCAATAAGGCCAACGACATGAATGATTCGACCAAACGTGTCGTCATCGTCGCCCTGATCGGCGTCCTCGTCCGAGGCTTCGTCCGATTCCAGGCGTCAATTCGGTGATACGACAAATATGTAAACGAAAATTATGTAACGACGTTTATGTAAATTCAAGCTCCTAAATTTCAACATTCATTCATTCATATCTGGAAATGTTGTAGGAGACGATTTATTAGCACTTTTTGGAACCAATGCAAAATTTTAAGTGTACAAATTTCACAAATTTTTTGGGAAAATAGCCAGTGAATAAAGTATAACTGATCGTTAAGTTAAGCTTAAGCTTTAATCTTAATTAGAATTGTGTACGATTAGATGTTTCCGAATTTTACGATTAGGAGGGTTTAAAATCTAAGATGGCAATTTAGTCAACAACTTGTCGTTTGTTGTCAGCAACATGAATTTTTCAATGATGAACGATGATGATGATTTAAATGATGAATGAATGATGAATTTTTAAATGAATGACTTATGAATGATGCGCCAAACTCCTCGTCACCTTGCTCGGCGTCAGCATACTCGGCAGCGAGGGAGGCTTCTGAATCTACACGCGGAAATCTCAACTTATCTACGGGATGCGGTTATTAAAGAAAAATTCATATTTTTAAATGTTTAAAGAGACGATTTATTACTTTTGGAATCGCTGCAAAATTTATATTGTGTACAAATTGGTAACATGATTGGATCAATGGGGAGAAAAATTATTGGGAATAAATTGTAGCCTTTCGTTTACAAATTATTGGGGAACTACAGGACTTATACATAGGTGTAAATGTATTTTATAATTAATTGTGCTTAAATTTAATAGTTATCCGCATCACGATACACAAATTCAGTATTTCTTCATCTGCACCCGTTGCTTTACGCCGAAATTCGCACATGATTCGATAAGCCCTAATTTTGATCAGGTTTCTATTCAACTTTCTACCTTTCCTTTCTTCCTCCGAGTCGTTGTCTTCGCCTTACTGCGCCACGACGGTACTTTGAACGTACTCCATCAACATCGCCTCCCATGTCAAAACTGGACTCGTTTTTGGACCGGATTTTGATCGCGACTCTGTCAAAAAAGTAATCCTAATTTTAAAAATCATTTTTGTCAATAGTTTAATTCTAGTTTTTATGATTTGTCCACCTTTTCGGGATGAAGCCTGTCTTAATCATTGAGCAGAGAGAAACAATCCCGTCGCGACCTCTCCCCTCACTCACGGCTCTTCGAAAGATGGCGAATGGAGGAAGGCAAAGCTGGCTCGGGCTGTACCAAATCTGCCCCCTAATTTTTACAATTTCTGAAATTCAGCTAGAAATTTCCCTGTCAACCGACCCCCACCAGACACCCGGTCTGAAAAATGAGGAGAAAGTGTTTACAAATTTTCAGGTCTCGCAACTTTACAAGGCGCGTTTTAGGTCCCAGTCTCGTATTTTTTTGCGCCTCGACCTTGACCTTGTTCTCTACTGGAGTTGGTCAGCTTCGTCCTTGCCCACCCACTGTCTAGACGAACTGTAAGTGAAACGTCAATAAGGAAGATGAAAACCTCGTCAAAACTGTTGCTCGTCTTCGTCGCTATCGCCGTCGTGATGATTTTGGAGCGCGTCCCTCCCGCGGAAGGTTAGTGGAGAAAATGTTAAAAATAAACTGGCCGGATAATCCGGCCCCGTTCAAGGCAATGCAGACAAAAAGAAAATTTCGCCCCAACGTGGTCGCAATTTTGTCTTATTATATAAAATGGTTCTTATTATATAATCATGCACAAATTTGCCTTTTGAACTAATTGCTATCGCACAAATCAGAGCACTTCTGGAATAAATTTAATTAAGCATTTTTAATCTCTTAAAAATTGCATACTTTTAATAAATTTTTTACACATTGTTTTGTATCATAAATTATAAAACTCGTTAAAGTTGTTTTCATCTAGTGTATACGGGCGCCCAGCCCACCCACGCCCCAAAAAATTGGCGCCCTAGGCGCTTGCCTATAGCTCACCTATGCCTAAAACGGGGCCTGGACGGATTTTATATATCCTCCTCTCTTTTACATCATAACTTATTATTTACTATTTCCGATAGGATTATACTGCTACCTTTGTCGGGGACCGAATGCTAAGGAAGCTGGAGGAGAGGGATCGAATTCCAGGTTGTTTGATTTCTTGGATGATACTTATTAAAACGTGAAGATTGCCACTTCCGTGGTTTGCAAGGACTTCACCGCTGAGAACAAAGAGGACGAAGGAAATAAGGCGAAATGTCCGAGCATCTTGAAAAGTATGTTTTTTTTCGTATAAATTACTTACACCCTAAATTTTGAAGTCTGCTCTAATCGTGCCCTTATCTACATCCAGCTTGTATATCTCACAAAACATTTGGCAGCAGGTGTTCCGATGCACCATCTGGGATGAAGATGAATTCCTGCACTAAGGACACCTGCCTTTGTGACACGGACTATTGCAACACGGCCAACGACATGAGTGATTCGACCAAACTGGTCGTCGTCACCCTGCTCGGCGTCAGATTCCTCGTCCGAGGCTTTTTCTGAATTCAATTCAAGCTCCTTAATTCCAACATTTATCTAGAAATGTTTTAGATGATTTACATTTTTGGAACAAGTCCAAAATTTGAATTTCATAAATTTGTTGCGTATGTAAATGGGCAGCGAATAAAGTATAAGTAACTGATCGTTGATTAAGCTTAATCTTTATCGTTAAATAAGAATTGAGCATATCATGATTAGATATTTTCGAATTTTACGATTGACCGTACATATATGAGTGATGAATGAATGATGAATTTTTAAATGAATTATTTATAAATGATGCCTCCAAACTGGTTGTCGTCGTCGCCATGCTCGGCGTCAGCTACCTCGTCCAAGGCTACTTCGGCAGCGGGGGAGGCGGATTCTGAATCTACCCGTGGAAATCTATGCGATGCGGTTATCAAGGGAAAGATTTTTATTTGTAAATGTTTAAAGAGGCAATTTATTATTTTTGGAAACGATGCAAAATTTATATTGTGTACAAATTTGTAATGTGATTGGGTCAATGGGGAGAAAAATTATAGGGGATAAATTGTAGCCTCGATTTTATAAACTAAGGTGGAATTGTTACTAGTTTAAACAGGACTAATAGGCGTAATTAATTTAATAGTCATCCGCATCACCGTAGATGAATTCTATATTGCTGTCATCCTCCTCTTCCTCTGCGCCCGATTTTTTGCGCCGAAACTCGTACATGATTTGATAAGCCCTTATTTTGATCAGTTTTCTATTCAATTCTGTGACTTGTCTTTCCGTCCTCCGCGTTGTTGTCGTCGTCACCTCGCTGCGTGACGAGGGTCCTTTGGACGTACTCCGTAAACGTGGTCACATCGTCAACCTCGTCGTCAAAAATGGACTCGTTTTTGGACCGGATTTTGATCTCGATCGAGTCTGTCAAAATGATATTGCAATTTTAAAAATCATTTTTTGCGTATATTTTAATTACAATTTTGTCAACCTTTTCGGGATGACGCTCATCTTAATCATTGAGCAGAGAGAGACACCACCATCGCCCACAGCGTTTCGAAAGATGGCGAAACCGTGGAGGAAGGCGGTGCTGGCGTGAAGAACGTTGGCGGGGAGAGCCTCGATAACGTTGGTGTTGGTGGAAAGGATGTCGGGAACGTTGGCGAGGAGGATCTGAAGCAGAGCAACGTCGATCTCGGCGTCACTTTCGAACAGAATCTTGTGCACGATACGGGTCGTTTGATAAATTTTTGGGATGAAAATTTATTAGTAGAAATATATATTTTTTGTTGCAAAAAACCGGTAATTATTTGACACCGTTTTCATAGCTGGATCCTGAATATGATCTTATAGAACCTTCATGACCGTCCGTCTAAATATTTGAGACAAACTATGTAACGGACATTAGACGACTCGCTGAGTTTGACCACGAAATTCATGCAATCACGACATAGCTTTGAATGAGTTTAAAAATGAGTATGCTTGATATAGTGGTTGACCTGTTGGGTCATTTAAGTGGTAGGGGTCGACTAAATTCATACCCCTTGAAGTACATTGTATGCAAATCGTGGTAGAAATACGAAATTTGGCACGAAACTGAAAGTGCACATCAAAGAGAACGATGTCAATTTGGAATTATATTTAAAACGCTTCGCCCACACTCACAATTTGAACTCAAGAAAAAAGTGAAGAACGACTGGCTCGGGCTGTATCAAGTCTGCCCCGTCGCTTTTACAATTTCTGAAATTCACCCTGAAATTTCCCTGCCAACTGATCACCTCCAGACACCCGGTCTGAAAAGTGAGGAAAAATTTCAGTGTCTCGCAACTTTTCAAAGTGGACAGTCGTGTTTTCTGTTCCAGTCTCGTATTTTTTTGTGCCTTGACCTTGACCTTGTTCTGTGCTCGAGTTGGCCACCTTCCGAACCTTGTGCCACCTAGGGATTCCAATCCCGGACGATTTTTTAAATCCCGGGAATCGGGAATCCCGGTTTTCGCCGTGACAAATCCCGGGATTTTTTCCCGAAATTCAAATATTACCGTATAACTTAGTCAAATTATGGTGCACATGGCTCTAAAAGTACCGAGCCTGAGCATATTTATAATACTTACATTACATATTACATAATATTTACATATCTACTGATGTGTGTTTTCCAAATATGTGCATTCATAAGTATTATTATAAAGTATGCTATTTTCTGGCATACACATGATAGTAACACAAATTAGCGAGCATATTGTTTTGCCTGCTATGATAAATGCAAAATTTCGATGTATTGTGGTAGCTCAATTTTCGTCATCTATCTTGGAGAGGTGATGAGAAAAAGTTTGATAATTTCATTCCAGAAAACATAAATAATTAATCAAGGGTTCGCCACCATGTTAACCAGAAATGCACAAACTTAAGTTTAGCAGTATTATTTGGCCTAAATCGCGAACAATTATTCAAAAACTACAATTGGACATGGAATTTGGCAATTCAAAAATTTCAAGCTCAAATATACGAACTACCTCGTTCAGTCAAAAAGCTTTTCATTCAGCCTTAAATTCATCGACTAAAATTTGGAATCACTTGTAACGTTTTAGTGTTTTTGGGCATTCGTGATTTCGGATTCCTTAATTATGCCGAAAATACGGCGTTCTTGTTGCTTCAATTTAATATCTGACATCTAAATTAGAAAATTTTAAGTTCCATGTTGTATTAAAAATTTTATTTGTGAATTAAATACAAAATTTGGATGAATATTCGAAAAATACGGCTACCAATATTGTTTAGAATGTAAATTTTCGACTTTAGGATCAATTTTGACTGGTTATGCTCTTCAAAGCTTTTTCTTACCAATCATATAACCGAAAATTATATAAAACTGCTATTAAAATAGTAAATTACAAGTAATTTCACTTCTGAATGACAAATTGAAAAATCCCGAAATCCCGGGATTTCAGTCATTCAAATCCCGGGATTTTTCGGGATTTAATTCCCGGGAAATCCCGGGATTTGAATGACTGGAACCCCTAGTGCCACCCTCCTTCTTCACGCCGGATCACGACCCCGTATTTGGAACTGGACTTGCAACGTCAAAGAAGATGAAAATCTCGGCGAAACTGCTCCTCCTCGTCACCATCGCCGCCGTCACGATGGTCTTCGTCCCCCCGGCGGATGGTGAGTTGAGAAACTTATAAATAAATAAGCTGCGGAGTGAGAATCTATGTATTTATATTTCTGGTAATTTGCACATTTCGCATTGTCTCTTTCCACAGGACTGAAATGCTACTTTTGCGATACTCCTAAATCTTATGATGGTAAATCGGGTCGAATGGGAAATGAGAGTCTGTTATTGAAGTCGGGTCGTCAGCACAAAATTCCAGAATACTCTGATTGCAAGGACTTCAACGAGAAGACTAAGAAAGAGGAAAAGTACCAGCAAGAATGCTCATCTCATTATAAAGGTATATTTTTTGACACTAAATACTAATTTCTGAAATCTCTTCTAATCGTGGTCCTTTTATAGATCCAGTTTGTATGTCCTCCATCGTTGAACCAAAGTACAGCCGATGTTGGGAGGGGACAAAACTTCCATATGCAAATTTGCCTGCCAAGAACAAATGCAATTGCGCAGCCTGCGTCTGCGACAAGGACTTTTGCAACACGGCCAACAACATGAATGATGCCTCCAAACGTGTCGTCGTCACCCTGCTCGGCGTCGGTTACCTCGTACGAGCCTACTACTTCGGCGGCAGTGCAGGCTTCTAAATCAACATCGACTTATCTATGCGATGCGGTTATCAAGGAAAAAATCTTATTTGTAAATGTTTAAAGAGGCAATTTATTATTTTTGGAAACGGTGCAAAATTTATATTGTGTACAAATTTGTAATATGATTGGATCAATGGGGAGAAAAATTATTGGGAATAAATTGTAGCCTCGATTTTATAAATTTTGGTGGAACTACACTAGCTTAAATGTGATTTATGGGGGTAATTAGTTAAGTTTAATTAATTTAATAGTCGTCCATATCACCAATTCACCATACATGAATTCAGTATTATTAGCATCTTCCGCTGCACCCGTTGCTTTGCGCCGAAACTCGCACATGATTCGATAAGGCCTAATTTTTATCAGTTTTTTATTCAAATCGGTGACTTGTTCTTTTGTGGTCGTCTCATCACTGCATCACGACAGTTCTTTGGACGTACTCCATCAGTGTGGTCACATCGTCCCCTTCAAATTTGCCCCATCGTCAAAAATTGTCTCGTTATTAGCTCGCCCTGCGTAGCACGAGAGCTATTGAATTCCTCATGTCCGTCCGTCCGTCTGTCTGTGTGTTCACGAGTTTTTTGCATCAATTGATGCTAATTAATAATCCCCTTGACCATTATAGAATAAATTAGGCGCACCATTGGTATCGAACAATCCGTGGCGCAAATGGTGCGAATTAATTGTGCAAATGGATCGAGAAAGGACTACAATTTTGGAATAGGTAGCACCGTTCGTATTGAACAGTTGGTTATCCAAGCTGATGCGAAACAATTGGATGAGCATCAATTGATACTCACTAGAATGGATCAGGTTCATTTTTTAATAAATTAATAGCACCGTTGGTATCTAACAATCGGTAACACAAAATGATGCGAAACAATTGGGTTAATTGATGCAAAACGCACCAATGGTACAGAATAGCCGGGAGAATTTATTATATAATTTTGACACAAATTTTTTGAAATTTTATTTGACCCACCATGGTTAATCTCCAACAGTGGTGCAAAATACTTGGTCATCTTCCTCGTTTTTCTGCACCATTGATGCATAATTGCATAATAACTATTGATCTATTTTATGCCTCGTTTTTCTGCACCACTGGTGCATAACTGCTTAAAATTATTGATCTATTTTATGCTTCGTTTTTATGCACCACTGGTGCATAATTGCTTAAAAATTATTGATCTATTTTGTTGAACTACTATAATTTTGCAGCCAAGGTGCAAAGGTGCCAGGTATATTACAGGGTGAGCTACTTCTAACGTTACTACGGTTTATTCAAAATTGATATAGCGGAAGCTCTTATAATAATCATCGTCCATTAATTACTTACAAAAGTTCATTGAAATTATATACATAGTTTCATAAGTAAATCAAAGAATTAACAAAGTGTGTGCTCAGTTGTGGGCATAATCCACAAGTAGCACACGGCATCCCAATACAGGCTAATCACACACTATGATAAATTTAATGATAAATTTAAAATATAATGATAATATGTATGCAATATGGGGGTAGAGGAAAAACCGGAGAGGGTCTCGGAAAACCTCTACATGTATTGGGAAGTTGATTCAATACACCATTCGGCCCATTACTACTGGACACCAGGTAGACCTTGTGCCTAGGGGTTGTGGTGATATCCAAATGAAGGTAACGTCTGAATGCGGAAGTAGACAGTTCAAGGTTGTTGGGCGGGGGCTGTCCACGGACCGCGGGATCTTGCCCACATCCCCCATAGACACCCCCACTTGCCCCTTCCTCCATCACAACACAATCAGGTCATGGGACCCCCGCGGACCAGAATATGCCGGCCCCCGTCATGCACGACCCATCCCCCACTCTTCAATCAACCACGCCCCACGGTCACCACCCCGATATGCCACACAATGACCTACCTGGAGTAGTCCTTTTAAGGCGTAGATCCTCATTTGCACTGGGTCCGGCGAATCCATCTTCGCCTGATGGCTCAGCTTGTCGTTGCTGGGACGGGTGTGGCAGAGGGTGTCACCAGGCACGCAGATGAAGGGTGTGAGTGGACGAGGCTCACATGGCTCACATGGCAACTTGGGACACACTTCACTTGCCCTAGCACACCCGCGACCCAGACAGAAGAGAATCCAGTTGCAGAGCGAGAGAGAGATATGTGGTGCACAGGAGGAAGCCAAAGGAGAACTCATAACAAAGTAAAGTAACCTGATTGGTCATCGCATTACAACTCTTCGCTTAAGATGGAAGCTTAAGAACAGTGTTTCTGCTGTTAAAAAACACCTGCACGAAATTAGTGCATAAAAATGTTTTTAAACGTTTAATAACACCCATCAAAAATCTGGAAAAGTGCATGAAAATGCACGAAAATGCACGAAAATCATTTAGGTGCAAATAATATTGGAATAATGCAATTTATCGAAATATTCGATTAATTGAGAAGTATTTCTGCTATTGTACGATACTTTCCTCATTGTTTTAGTATTTTGGTGTAAAACTATTTACCATTTTTCAATACATAGGTAAGCCCTGACTAAGGCTAGAAAGTGAGGTAAAGTTTCGAACCAAGTATATAACTTAATTTCACCCCCATTTTATAGAGTAGCAAAATATATTACTTCTTGACAATATGAAATTGCCTGCATAAATTACATTTAATTTATTATTATGCATTTTTACACATTTTCGTGCATTTTTGTGCATTTTTATGCGTTTTTATGCGTTTTTATGCATTTTTATGCACCATGCACGCATGAAAATAATTTCGTATGCACAAAAAGAAACACTGCTTAAGAAGTTCACGTTTGATTATTAATAAACCAATTTGATCTGACGCAGAGACTTATTCGCACAAATATTACCGATTTGTATTAATAAAAATGGACTGAAATAAAAAAAACTATTCCTCAAGAAATATGAAAGTGAAATCATTGATTACCGAAAAAAATCACCTCGGAACATATCTCCCGGAAAGAATCTCGAATGGAAATAATCATCAGTGGACAAAACCACAATCGGAAAAAATTTACAAATTTATAAATTATAGATTTACTACAAGTGTTATGAATATTAGTAATAATGTAGAAATAGAGTATTCAAGGTTTGTTGAATTCATGTAACTCTTATGTTTTCACTCTATATATATGTACATACTCAGGAAGAAGTCTTCATTGTATGCTATTCTACATTTCGACTTTTGTACCTAGTACTCGCAAAAGTTCTGTTATAAGATTTCCCGGGTAAATTAAGCAGGCAAAGCAATTTTTTAGAAGGTTGTACTATTTTTATTTAAATCTCCATGCAATTTACCGTCAGAAACCATGTTTCGAAAACCTCTGTGACCCCAGGTGAAAAAATGATAGATGGGCAAACATGGCGTGTTGAAATTTTTCAG